GGGCTCGATCCCAGGACTCTGGGATCATGACCTGAGCTGAAGGCAGATGCTTAACCACTGAGCCATCCAGGCGCCCCAGTACTATTTTACTTTAAAAGACTGTTCACCCAGGCTTACCCAGTTGGTTGAGCGTCTAACTCTTGATTTCAGCTGAGGTCATGATCTCAGGGTTGTGAGATTGAGCCCCACGTCGGGCTCCGTGCTCAGCGCGGAGTCTGCTGGAGATTCTCTCTCTCTTTCTCTCTCTGCCCCTCCCCTTGCTCGCACTCTCTCTCTTTCTCTAAAATAAATAAATAAATCTTTTTAAAAAAAATTAAAAAAATAAAAGTCTAGTCACCCACTAAGAGAAAGTAGACAACAAAAAGGGGTGTTCGGTATGCTCGCAGCAAGTTGGTAGAGAAGAGTTGCATTTTCATTCCCTGTACCTCTCTTTGGGGGTTCATTCCATTTGCTGGCCTTCAGTGAGAGTTTTCCTGACATTTCTGGAGAGTGCTCACTTTCCAGCTTCGCATGAAACCAAAAAACGTGTGTGCGACAGTGCTGTCCATCTTCAGAATATGGAAATCTCTGGTTTATAGATTCCATATTTAGACATGGTTCTTTCCTTTGCCACCCAAAGAGCTGCTTCTGAATCACATTACAGAAGGCTCTGCTGTTTCTGGGACTGCAAAACCGCCAAGCAGGAGCTGAAACCGATCTACAGAGAGTTTCCCACTAAAACTAGACTCCATTGCTTCAGTGGGTCTGTTGCCGTACTGTTGGAAGAAACTGGGACTTAAATTTCTACATGTTTTTCTTTAGGGGTGGAATCTTCCTTGTTGTTCCCATTCAGAATCAAAGTGCTGACCATGCTAATTTTGTCAGAGAACACAGTTTTGAGATAAGGTTGGAAATGTTTGCCCCCAGCAATGTTGCTCATGCCTTGAAAATATTTGCACTGTGACTGCAAGCAATCGTGTGCGTAAGAAGATGGCTCAGCCTGGTGGCGACAAGGACAGGGGGGAGGGATGGGCCAAGAGCCATTTTATTTAAAACATACTCCTCTTCTGGAAAAAACAAACAAACAAACCCCCCCAAAACCAAAACAACAACAACAACAAAAAACAACCACACAGGAATTCAAAAAATATGCAGTTTTTACTGGGGAAGCGAGGGCACACAAATGAAATCAGATCTATTGTTTAGGGAAGGATAGGGAGCTGCGGCTTTCTTTAGGATAAAAATATATTATTTAAGTGTTAAAACTGCTCAGGTACATTGGTCCCTAGCTCTTTTTAAATAAAATATTAAAACTAATGTGTGGTGATTAACATAATAAAATAAAATAAAATAAAAAGTAAAAACTCTGGAATATTAGCTTACTGATCATTTAGAGTCTTTATATTAAGCAAAAGAAATTTTTTTTTTAGATCTTTCAAATAGCAGTTTTCTGAAGTAATGAAAACAAAAAAAGTGCTTACCATGGATAGATGTTGTTTCAAAATACTTTATTTTTACTAACCAGTCTAATCCTCAAGATGGGAGTGTGAGGTAGGTACGATTATTGTCCCTGTTTTATATCTGGGGAAACTGAGGAACCAGGAGCTAAGAAATTTTACTCAGGGTCTGGTACCTGGTGTCGCCAGGGCTGGGACTCAGAGCCAAGCCGTCTGGCCTGAGAACCACTGCATAGCACTTAGGGTTCTCACGGACTGCAGTGTGGACGGATCAAAGGGCGATGAGGGCAAGTGCTGATAGCGGGGTAAGAAGACATTGTTTATCAAATGCCTGGTTATATATCAGCATGTTTACACAGGCTGTCCATACCACAACTCTATGCGTAGGTGACATTATGCCCACTTTACAGATCAGTAAACCGAAGCTTAGTGAAGGACGATGATTTGCACCAGGACTCACAGCTCTTATGGGGCAGAATCAGCATTGCAGCCTGGGTCTGTCTGCCTCTAACATGGGTTCTTAATCACCAGCTACTTTGTCTCTACCTCACTTGTTAGTTATCCTGTTAGAAGGCTCTTATGTAGTAATAAGGAACAGGACATAATCAAAGCTCCTCATTAAGTGATCAGACAGTTTAGCCGCTAGTGGGTTAGGGCGGGGGGAAGGTGGTTGGAAGAGAAAACCATATTAGCCTTAGTGTGCCCACCCCTCCTTCCCCAGCTTCTAATTCCAATTCCCTAAGAGAAGAAAACCATCTTCCCTGCAGACATCTCTCTAAAAAACCACCATTGTGAGATTCGACTGGTTGATTTTGTTTGAAGCTCCATCCCGGGAGAATTGCGTGGCTGCTGTGGGTGGATTTGCATGACCCTTAGTGAGAACTGATGCCTACGCTGGTCAGCTGACCGGCAAGTGAACAGGAGACTGTTTCTTCATGCCCCTCAAGGAGAATTTCCTTGTCCAACTCATGTATTTGAGTTATAATATTTCCTTTTCTGTCCTCTCCATCTCCAAATATTCTATGAGCAGAGTTCCGGCATGGCTTAAACATACAATGTACATGTAGTTTTGCACATGAGCACCCCCTGGGATTCAGAGCATTCTGTGTCTGTCTGTCTCAAATTCCCTTCTCCCCTCCCCCATGTTTTTTCCCCCCATTAGGCAAATGGAAGGCCCATGCCACCTGTTAGCATTACATCATTGGTTCCCCAGAACACAGTTGCACCAAAGGCCTTAAACAAAGTAGTTCTTCTTGTATTGTTTGTACTCAAAGAGCTGATATCATGCCAACTGATGTCATTGTATGTCTTTGTGTAACTGCTATGGCAACTGGGCAGGTGGGGAGCCTCCAGCTGATGTCATGGGGAAAGGAGGTGTAGAGACAGAATTTTAAAAAGCTGTATGCTGCTTTTTTCTGTGTGTGGGTTTTTTTTTGGCATGCATTTTTTTTTTAAACTAGCTGCTTTTAAGACAAATTACAGCTTGAGTACCCTAAATAAGAACAGACAAAAGTTCCCCCCCCCGCAACCCCTTAGGGACTTCTTTTGAATTTATTTTGTTGTTCTTTCCTCTCATCTTATATGAAAAAGTGTAACCACTGCCTTTTTCTTAAGGGAAAAAAAAAAAGTGATTTAGGGTCCCATCACAAAATCAGTGTGAATTGTTTACTTGGATTTTATGGAGGCAAAGCTGAGCGGATTTAAAAATAACTCTTTAAAGTCTCTTTCGTGGGGTTTGTAATGGTGATGGTGGGTAATTTCAATTTTTTTTAGAAAGTAGTGACTACTGAAATCTTTCTGGTTTTCCATTTCTTCTGTCTACTTTAAAAATAATCTCTTAGGGCCCAGACAAACTTTTTAATCATGATTTCATAGCAGAGTAAACTAGTAATATGTAAAGGCAGAGTTTAATTCTAGAATCCATTAAAATGAATTTATAGCTCCTGTTTTTCTTTTCAAAAAGCAAAGGTAGGTTTTTGCACTTACTGATGGATGCAGTGAGTGACCATAATATTACCCTCTTTGAATGATCTTTGTGTCACCGCTGGACCTTAATGAAAATATGACTTGCTCAGTCGTCACGCCTAGCTGGCTGTGTACTGGGCGAGCACAGCGCTGAGAGTTGGTCTAGGTTATAGTCTGGAGCTTCCTGCTGTAGATGCCAAAGATGAGACTTGAAATGGGGAAAGGCTTATGTTACGTTCAGAAACTAGTGGACAGATAGACTTCCTGTCTTTATTTCAACACAATCGTATCCTGTCCACGCTTTGTGTTTTCCGGTCTTATCTCCTAAAACTATCAGGACAGTTGTAGGACGTCTATCAGAGGGCATAAATGTTGTGTTCTGGAGGCTTTCAGCTTATAAGAAGTCTCTAACTTCCCCCTCCTTTCAAAAGGAAGGCTAAGGTAATATGAGAAATAGAGCCCACTTGGTGGGAATAGTATCAACTCAGATTTCCTGGCCCTTATATGTACATTGTGTCATTTGACCCTCCTGATAATCCTTTGGGTTTATGCATGTGTGTGATACATCTAATAAATATTAAAGGAAAAATTTAAATAATAAACTGTGATCCATAAATTTCCTACCTTAAAGAAGTGCTCTTTTTTGCATGGTCCTTTAGTTTTTGATCACGTGTATGATGAATGTTTTTGAATTGGCTTTGTTTCATTTAACATTAAATATAGAAATATTTTCTTTGTTTCCATATTCCTTTCATAACTTTTAATGGCTTCATAATATTCCATTGGATGAATATAATAACTTTTCTTTTTTTAAAATTTGTTTTGGTCCTTGGCCTTTTCTGTAAAACAGATAATGCTGTAGTAAACCTCTTTGTACATCTAGCTAGATATCTTTGGTTAGATCACTTTCTTAAGCTATATTCCCCAAAATGATGCTGCACTTGTTGATGGGGAGGTTTGCACACTTTGCCTGTATTCATTCAGTCTAGACTTCCAACCACACTAAAAGGTAGATGCTATTACCCTCATCTTACAGATGGGAAACCAAAAGCACAGAGAGAGAAATTAACTTGCTTAAGTCACAGAGCCAAGAAGTTGTTACTGGGACTATAGCCAAGGTAATCTGGGTCTTCCAAGGTCCTTGTCCATAGCCGCTCTTGTGTATTGGGAGCAAACTTGTCTTTCTGGGTGAGGTCAGCTTATGGAAGAGTGCAAGACATGCCTACAGTGCCCGAGGAGGTCGACCATGCTTTCCTTGGCTCCCAAAGTACAAGGTTCTATGTAGGCCACTGAGCATATGGCTCTTTGAGGCAGATCAAATCTGCTGCTGGTAAAATTGCCTGGTGCTACAAATGAACTCTTTCCAGGGGAACATGCCACAGTTTGCGTAAAGAGCCACATTGCCAAAGTACCACATGCAGTGAGATCTTCTGAAGCTTGTCCTGGATCCCCAAATGGCCTTGCGTTTTTGTTCTGATATTATTTTTAAATACGTGCACCTGCAGGAATGTACACTTATGTCTCTGGGGATAGTGGCCTTTTCTGCCAGCTCTGAAGTTCTAGGGATGGTCATTGTCACTTTCTGTGTGTTTGCTCCAGGTGGACTTAGCAGTTTTAAGCAGAACCATGAAAACCTCTGTGACAACTCCCTCCAGCTCCAAGAATGCCGAGAGGTGGGGGGCGGCGCATCTGCAGCCTCGAGCATGCTACCTCAGTCCATCCCCACCACCCCTGACATCGAGAATGCAGAGCTGACGCCCATCTTGCCCTTCCTGTTCCTTGGCAATGAGCAGGACGCTCAGGACCTGGACACGATGCAGCGGCTGAACATCGGCTACGTCATCAATGTCACCACTCACCTGCCCCTCTACCACTACGAGAAAGGCCTGTTCAACTACAAGAGGCTGCCGGCTACTGACAGTAACAAGCAGAACCTGCGGCAATACTTTGAAGAGGCATTTGAGTTCATTGGTAACTATCTCCCAAGGGGACTTCTGGTCTTCCACCTTCCTTTCCCCTCTGGCTTTTGCTTTGATATCAAGCCTAAAGTTTATGCCTGCATTGCAGAAAAGCTGCTCTGAGGTGTTTTCAGGCTCTGCCACCTGGTGCTGCCAAAGTGTTCTTCTAAGTCACAGCCCGTTGAACAAATGCATGGGAGACCCTGGGATGGGTGTAAAGAAACAGTGATTCCGTTTTGTGGGGAAATCCATGTCCCTCTAGTTCTCAATGAAAAGGTGTTAGGGAAGAGCATGGATATGTTTTGTCCCAGAATTTCAAAAGAAGTAATCAAGAAGAAAGCAATGGAGGCCAGAGCGGCTGCTGCTGTGGCTATCTGGTCTACCATGTCTGTCGGACCTTGCGAGAGGTAAAATACAGGGAAGACGACACCATCTCCAAACTCACCCATGCCTCTCTTACATTGGGCTAAATTAATCTGCAGTTGGTATAGCTTCTTTACACGAGGTTGAGGCAAAGGTGGCATTTGCTGAAAGGCTGCTTCTAAAGAATGTTTTTCAGTAAAACAGTGCTGTTGTGAACATCTTTACATGTCAGTCACATCAATGAAGAAGAGACAGGAGCAGAGGGCTGTGTTGTTTTTCCCTTCTACTTGCTTTGTTTCAGTTCTTAAACACTGGGTAGCAGAAGGGTGTGAATATGAGCGTTAGTGAGATGGTACTAGATTTCATAGGACTTGCTCCAAACTCACTAAAGTAGGAAAGATCAGGTTGTGTAGCCTGAGTAGTTCCCAGGGAGGGGAAAAATCTAACAACAGCAGACTTTAATCTCCAGAAGGAAGTAACTGCCAGCCTAACCCTAATCCTAACTTTAACTTTTGCTGCTTCTATAGCCTCGAATTGTTTTAAGGCTCAAATTATTATTTGGGGGGAACACCAGGCACCTAGTAGACACTCAATTTTTTTTTTTCAAGTGACAACAACCTTCATTACCACAAAAAGGTGATCAGTACTTTTCCTAAATATTGTAGCAGATTGTTACTGGCCAAGGTCCCAGGAAGAATGCACTCATGTTTGGTGCTCCTTTATCAGAAAAAAGGGCTTGGGTCTGGTAGATTTGCTGTAGACTTGGCAGTTCTGCTCATGTCACCCAGCTGTTTTCCTTGCTAATTGTGCCTTCAGTGCAGGACCATGGACTACTCAGTCTGGAAGGAAAGTCTGGGTGGTCACTGAACTCAGAAAAATAAAGTGACTTCTCCAAGATTGTAAGAATTTTAGAGTCAGAAGGGAGCAGAATGCAAGGCTCTTGACTCTGAGATAGGGGCCTTTCTATCTTTGCTGGGGCAAAGTTCCCAATGCTCTGTTAGTTCCGGAATGGCAACATTTGTGGATGCAAAGACACCTTAGATTCTTTATTAATGATATTTGAATCAAACCTTGAGCCCCGAGGAAGAAACATTTGTCACCAAGTAGATGAGGAACTTTCTGGTTGATATATGATGTTATGACTGCAATTTTATCTGACTTAATCCCAGCTGGGGGAAGTTAAGAGATTGTTTTCCATTTAATGAGTAGCATCAGGCATGCTTGTCCCAACAGGATTTCAAGCAAGGCACCTGCATTCCTTACAGGTTATTCAGGCTTATCTGATTTTTTTAGAAGGAAAACAAAACAAGTAACAAATGGCATTTAACCTGAAGAACAATTCAGCATCATAGCCTGCATAGGCACAATGTTATTTTCATTGTTATATCATTAGATAAACTGAAATAGTATGGTCTAGCTTTAGGGGAAGCAGCAGTTTTTGTAACCATAATGACATTTACAGAGAGTCTAATAATATAAACTAAGCAGAGTGTATGTTTAGGGTTTAACTATGCCAATTTATTTATTCCTGAATTGGATGATATTCCCATATTCCCTGAGCCTTGTTAGTGAATATTACTCCCATTATGTAGACAGAGGGGTGAAGCTCTGGGGAGTTAAGTGACTCAGACCTGATTACTCATCTAGTGTGTAGTGGAACCAGTGGTCAAACCTAGCACTTTGCAGCTCATCTTCCTATCACCATGCCTCTCAGTCTTGGTGTGGAGGTCAGTAAATAGTGTGTGCTGAAGAGAAGAAATTGCAAAAGGGAAATTCTTTCTTCAGATACTTTTATCTATGAGAAACAAGCTTAATTCATAGATTTTTAAGATGGAATTTTGCATGATGTTTCTTTTCTCGATCCACTGGTGGGTAGCCAGTAGAACTAGTTTAAGTTAGGGGCACCTGACTGGCTCAGTTGGAAGAGCATGCAACTCTTGATCTCTGGGTCATGAGTTCGAGCCCTACATTGGGTGTAGAGATTACTTAAATAAATAAATAAACTAAAAAAAAAAGTGGTTTAAGTTAGATCACTCCTCCTTACTCCCCTGCCGTACTCTTCATCTACTTGATATTCCTTCAGGGATTCTTTCTATGGGACGCCTTTTAGTCTAGAAGTGTCATTAAGAATCTATTTAGGCAGTGCCCATAAGCCACTCCCCTGAGCTTCTAATGTATCTGAAAACTTATAAAATACTGCTTCTTTCAGTTGCTCTGATTTTTGCGCCATCACTAGAATTCCTCCGTCTTTGTCATCACCGCCATGTTGGAACAGCAGACTCAGATGTGGGGAGGTTGGACAGTTCAGATATAGGTGACGCCTTGTGCCTGATAACTGCAAGTCTTTAGCTACATTTGCAATAATAGGCTATTCTGGTATGAAGCTGAACATAGCAACTTTCTGGTTGGGTTTTGTTTCTTTAACCTCAGAGTTTAGTAAGACTGAAATCCTTAATCCATTTAATACCAGTTCCTGTACAGAGCAATTCTATAATGTAAAGAAAGAAATGGTTTTTTCTCTATCACAGCTGGGAGAGACATTGTTAACAGCACTAGTTTTGATAAGCCACACAACCTAGTGATTGGAATTAACATCCTTTATCAAAAGGGTCTACTTAATCAGTGGCTTGCTTAACATGGAAGTTAACTGTGTTGGCTGCAATAAGTTGAAGTGAACTGTTACTATGAATGATTCCTTTCCCTACTCCCCTCTTTAAATGGAGAAATGTAAATTCTTATTCATGCTAATATTGCTTTTAGCCAGTTCTGGAGGTTGCAACCATAAGTCTACACAATTAACTAGTAAATTATACTTAGCTTTAAAGCCATTTGAATTTATTTATTTTTTTCTCTCTCTACAAAATATAACATTGTCAAGTCTGGATAAAAGCTAATCTCTCTTTTTCCATCTCTTTCTTCCTTCCTGCACCTCTTGGCTTTCTCCCTTTTCCCAGAGGAAGCTCACCAGTGTGGGAAAGGGCTTCTCATCCATTGCCAGGCGGGGGTGTCCCGTTCTGCCACCATCGTCATTGCGTACTTGATGAAGCACACTCGGATGACCATGACTGATGCTTATAAATTTGTCAAAGGCAAACGACCAATTATTTCCCCAAACCTTAACTTCATGGGGCAATTACTGGAGTTTGAGGAAGACCTGAACAACGGTGTGACACCGCGAATTCTTACACCAAAGCTGATGGGCGTGGAAACGGTCGTCTGACAAAAGTCTGGATGGAAAGGATTACTCGTCTCCATTAAGAGACGAAGAGAAAGAAGGATGGATTCTTTCTTTTTTCCTTTTTCTTTCTTTCTTCTCCTTCTTTTTTTTTAGATGGGGTAAAGTTTGTGAATGGAAACAAAACTTGTTTAAAAACTTTTTATTTTTCACAAGTGTGAGAAGAATTTATCTTTTGATGCCGTTGAGATTTCCTTCCCACGAACTGATAAAGCAGGGAGGCTAAAGGAGTAATTTTTTTAAGCCAACAATAAAAATATAATAAAACTTGTTTCTTCCCCTTTTCCTTTTAAGCTATTTGTAGAGTTTATGATTAAATAGTCTGTGCAGGTTCATAGACCGAAGATACTACAACTTACACAAATTAAAAAGAACCAAAAGTAAGAGACAGAAAAGACATTGAATCACGAAGGCCCGAGAGCTGCCTGGGCCGTCCACACAGGAAACAAAAACCCAACCAAACCAAGCCCTGTTGTACTCACTGGTGCAAAGAGAAAATCAGGGCAGCTTAAGTGGTCTAAGAACCCTTCACATTCTTTAAAGAGACAAAAGATACTGTTGATTTTGTGTGTTTCATACTCGGGATTATTTCCCCCCCTCTCTGGGTTTAAGAGATTTTTTTTGAAATAGCGAGGAACTGACAATTATACCATATGCCTTCACTGGCTTCTTGTGCAATAATACGGTGTTTTGAGTGTGCAAACAAGTTAGAGCTGGCAGCCGAATAATAGACAAATAGTGCAAATTTGCCAGCTTGGAGATCGAAAGGAATTCAATAAAAATCAATTACTTTCCTTCCCACCTTTTTCCTTTAATTTTTTTTTTTTGATTTGATTCTGGTTACAGTGCCATAAACCTTGTTACATATGTATATCAGACTGTAAAAAAAAAAAAGACAAAAATTTATTTAAAAATATTTTTCGCAAAAAAAAACCAACTTGATGTGTTTCTGTTGATTGTGTAAAAATTTATTTTCATTATATAAATGAAACTCATTTGGGGACGTGTCTTTTTTCCTCCTGTTTTCCTCAAGTCAGGTTCAAGCATCTCTTACCTCTGGTAACTTGTACATGTAACATACGTGGAAATACACACGTGTTTTTATGGGGGAAAGAGAGATGAGGAAGGGAAAATATTCTCTGTTCTCAGCGTGATTCAGAGAGAATAAGCAAGGAAACCAAAGAGCTCCGGTTATCAGTCTGCCATCATCCCCTCTGTTCTCACAGCACTCTACCCTCTTCTGCAAATGCAATTTTCTGCAGAGGGAAAACCTCAGGTGAAGTCACCTTAGAGGGATGAGGGGGGTTCTACCCCAGCCTTTGAGCTCTGATGACAGGTCACTGCCAGATTGATTGGTTAGAATTCTGTGACCTTTCCAGTGGCTATCTGATAAATATTTGTGACCATCTGCCATCTAGGGTTCTTGATGGTTCCTCCCCTGCCCCCTTGTCACTCCCCTTGCCACTTGCTCACTTCACATCTTTTGGTAACATTAACCATGGAGAGTGCAAGGCAGCAAATTGAACTCAGCATCATGAATATAGCTTTCTTACCACACTTGGTTAATACATAGCTTGTGTTCCGTGAGTTCCCAATGCACGGAAAAGAGGGCATGGGGGTAGGGGAAGAACATGATCTCAAAGTTTTCTACATTTTATTAAAATACATGTCTAGGGGCGCCTGGGTGGCTCAGTCGTTAAGCGACTGCCTTCGGCTCAGGTCATGATCCCAGGGTCCTGGGATCGAGCCCCACATCGGGCTCCCTGCTCAGCGGGAGGCCTGCTTCTCCCTCTCCCACTCCCCCTGCTTGTGTTCCCTCTCTCGCTGTGTCTCTCTCTGTCAAATAAATAAATAAAATCTTAAATAAAATAAAATACATGTCTAGAGGGACTTGGCCAAGGGGAAGATTCACAGCAAACTGAAATTTGCCTGGAGTGAGTAACAGAATTGAAGAGTTCGGGCATGTCCAGTTCTAGATGACTACGTTTGACCTATTTTTGTGAACATTGCTTAGAACTGCTATGACATAGTATGTTTTGACATTTATTTTTTTAAATAGCTTTTCTACTAGAAGTGAAAAAGAAAAGTGAAGACCAAACTTAACAGGAATTAACTGAGAGCTGTTTGAATTATTCTTACGAGAGAGTTAATCAGGTGAAAAGTAAATTTCTCTTACAGTGTTTTCTATTCTTCAGATTAACAATTTCCTTGGTGCTAGAGCATGTTTAAGAAGTCAAGTTGTTACATGATTAGTAATTTAAAATACATGGTGATTTACTAGGCATTTCTTTTTGTTTATTCTAAATCCAAATGTTAAATTTATGATAGAGTGTAATGTAAGGCTTTTTTTTCCCTTTCCTTTTCCTTTCCTTTCCTTTCCTTTCTTTTC